ATTATAGGGTTAAAAATTAAGACCTACAAAAGACTGATTTAAGACATTTTAATACCAATTAAGGCCTTAATTTTATTTTAAAGAATTCAATGCCTTTTAAGACTTTTTAAGGACCCGCGGGAACCCTGGTCCTTATATAGTCCATTTAAAGTGTTAAACTAGAGTTTATATCAGAGATATTATTATTATAGTCGGCCTTCAAACAACAAACCAGATTTGTCGATTATTTTCTCCCCAATTTTGTGCCACGAAAGATGAATTTATCTTGTTCAAGAAAGAAAATCAAAGGCTGCTGACTGGCAGCATTTAACAAAAGGTTGACTTTACTAGATGAAGAGAATAATGTGGCCAATTTTAAAGATGCAGCAATGAAACATTATTGAAATTGCACAACATTCATAAGCAGGTATTAGTTCTTGTGTGTAAATGAGACAAAAACATCCTAAATATTCCAGGAACTATAACCAAACAACAACACTGCAAAAAAATCTAAATCTTGATAAGTCATTTTTTTCTTAAAATAAGTGCATTTGTTCTTGAATTGAGGAGACAAAAGAGACATTTTGCCAATGGAACAAGACATATTTAGATTTAAAATAAGAAAACACAATTGCATTGTCTTATTTCAAGTGAATATTATATAATTATCTTATTTTAAGAGTAAAAATACTCATTCCATTGGCAAACTATCTCATTTACCTACTCAAATTAAGGGTAAATACACTTAATTTAAGACATTTTTACTTATTTCTAGATCATTTTTCCAGTGAAGAAAATGCTGCAAAAAGGCTGATATTCATGTTGGTTCATTCAGGGAGGTGTCAGGAAAAACCCGGACAGGTGCACAAAAATATCCTTTCATAATTCGATAGCCCCCCCCACCCCGGCTTCTGTCACATCTTTTTGTTTTGCGCTAGTCAAGTTATCGTACGTTGATGAGTCGATTTTGTTCTGAATATTTTCTGCCAGCCGTTCGCTTTTTCTGTTTCTTGTGTTCAATTCAAGAGAATGATACAAAAGCTGTAGCCTTCAGTTAAACCTCCTACTTCCTTCCTACTTGATTCCTTCACCCTCTTTAACCACATTGCACCTTAGCTAATTTCATGATTTGGGTTTCTGCAGCAACATATTTGAACTTGTGCAAAAAAAAACAAATGTCCTGCAGTTGCAACAGATTGCTGTAGGAGCAGCATTGCTCCAGTGTTCCACTGATGGAGAAGAAAAACAGCTCAAAGTAAATCTCAAAGGGTCTCCTATGCTCCCATGAGATTATTTATCTCTGGATTTGAATGCTAAACATATTTTAAGTACTTCTGCTCAAAGCACCACCCTTACATCTCATCCTGTCTTCCTGTTTCTGATTGGCTGGGACTGAAATGCATTCACACTCCAGGGTCTGAATGAAACATGCCGAGGCGGGCAGCTGCACTGGAAAAAATCTAAATCTAGATACGTTGGATTGAGGAGGTAAAAGAGAGATTTTGCCAATGGAACAAGACAATTTACACTTAAAATAAGAAAACACAATTGCATTGTCTTATTTAATGTGCATTTTATCCAATTATCTTATATTAAGTGTAAAATTACTCATTCCATTGGCAAACTATCTCATTTACCTACTCAAATTAAGGGTGAATACACTTAATTTAAGACATATTTACTTATTTCTATGTCGTTTTTGCAGTGAAGGTATCTGGATTTGGCTTGCTAAAAATAACTAAACATTTCTTAAAATAAGAATTTTATTATTTCTGCCCCTAAAATAAGATAATTTGATAATTACAATGAGATAATTGAGCTGGTTTTTCTTATTTCAAACAGAAAACATCTTATTCTGTTGTCAAATTATGTAAATTACCTGCATAAAACGAGAGAAAATACAATTATTTAAAGAAAAATGTAGCGGTTTGGGCTGCACAGTGCGGCAGTGGTTAGCATCGCTGCCTTGCAGCAAGAAGGTTCTGGGTTCGATTCCTGGCCCAGGGTCTTTCTGCATGATGTTCTCCCTGTGGATGCGCGGGTTCTCCTTATTCCCCTTAGGTGTGAGTGTGTGTGTTAATGGTTATTTGTTTCCCTGCGATGGACTGGCAACCAGCCAGGATGGACCCCGACTCTCACCCGTGCACAGCTGGAGATCGGCACCAGAACCCCTCGTGAGCCTAGCATGGATAAATGGATGCAGCATTGATCAACCCTAAAGACCGCAGTAACAGTAGGACGGGGAAATCTTATACATCTACAGGTGCTGGTCATAAAATTAGAATATCATGAAAAAGTAGATTGATTTCAGTAATTCCATTTAAAAAGTGAAACTTGTATATT